CACAGGCCCCACTCTCAAGGAGCTCCAATTTAATAGGAGATACAATAAAACCAAATAATTACACAGATGTATAATTACATACTGTGATGCATGCAATAGGAGAAAGGATCAAGAGTAATGAGGCCATATAATAGAGGAAACCTAACACTACTTTCATTGACAAGGCAGGAGGCACTGGGGCGGGTTGTAGGGATTGACATTTGGGCTGAAATCCTAGGAGTAAGCACATGTGTGAAGTGTTTCAGAAAGAGGGGGCAGCACATATAACTGAAGTACAGCAATAACAGGGAGGAAAGTAGTATAAGACAAGGCTTAGAGACCCAAGTAGGCCTGAGCCCATACAAGTAACTGAAGGGTACTCTAAAAATTTGGTCCCTATCCTAAGAGCAATGGGAAGATACTGAAGGGTTCTAAGTGGAGGATAACATAATAAGATTGCAAGTTTAAAAATATCACTTGATGCAGTGTAGAGAATGGATTGGAAGGGGCATGAATGAGAGAGGGCAATACCACTTCTGAGGCTTTAACAGCAACTCTGTAGGTTGTGCTGGGGGGGGCGGTGGCAGCAAGTATGAAAAGAGTGGTTTAAATTGAGAGATATTTAGGAGGTACAGGGGCAAAGGGTTATATTTAGGACTTAAGGAAGGTAAGAGGTATAAGGATGGCACTCACTACGGAGGTTCACAAGAGTGAGGATACCTCACTTTGGACATATAGAAACATATCAATTTCCCCTGCATTCTGCTCACCCTCTCCTGTCCTTTCTTCTATGGATCTGAAGCCCAGTCACTAGAGTCAAAATCTCTGAATTATCTGAGGCCTTATTTTGGCCTTGTACACAATCTTGCCCTCTCACTCCTACCCCAGTCGCTGTCATCAAGATCAATATTTACTATATTGTCTCAGAGGGGCCTCTGGAGAGACCACAAAATGATACAAAAATGCAAGTCTTTTCTTTTGCTCTTAAAGGCAAGAGATGTAAAATTCCAGACTTTCTTATTTTTTATGGTAACCAACTGAGTTATAAAGGAGTACTAAAATTTGTTAGTCATGAACTAAAGTTAGCTTTTAACTGGAGTTCACAGAAGATTTTAATTCAGTTCTCTACTAAGAAGTCTGGCTGCCAGGCAATATTTGGCAATGTTGCAAAGCTCCTCCCACACATTTACCCGTCTAGCCAGTTAGAATTCTCGCAATTTTCAGGAAGAGCACTTTGTTATTGGGGCATTACCAGTGAGGTTTTGGGCTGGTCATGGTTTATGATGCCTGACATTCATTTTAATGACACATTGTGATTCATGGAGCTTCATTATGATCAATTTAACACGCAACGGGTTATTTGATTAACCCTCTGGGGTAGAGGGATGCACCTCTCTGATCTTATTTCTTGCCACTTCTCCCCTCCCGCTTTCTTGCTGATCCAGAACATGTATAGCAAGCCCCCATCCTCCTTTACACTTGCTAGGCCCTTGGCCTGTACTCCCTGCCCCCCAGATACCACACAGCTAACTCTTTTGCTTCCTTCAATCTTTCTCAAATGTCACCTGTGAGAGGCCTTCCCTGACCACTATATTTAAATCATATTCTTCTGATTCCCTGAACTTCCTCGCCTATTTCCCTGTTTTATTTTTCTTCTTGACACCTACCACATCTGATAAACTATACATTTCACTTATTTGTTTATTGACAATTTAGCTCCCACTAAAAGTTAAGCTCTGTAAGTGCAGGGGGTTTTGATTCTTTTGTTTGTTGTCCTATCACTGATACCTAAACCAGTACCTGGCACATAGTAGGTTCTCAACAAATAATTGTTAAATGAAAGTGACTCTCATCAGAATTTTTGATCTCTTAATCTCTAACACCCAGCTTTTCAGCATGGGTATATGTGGTTTAAATATGAATCATTCGTAGCCCTATTACCAAAGCAGGTATTAACATGAACCCAGAAAAACATGCTTCTACTGTTTTTCATTGTTATCCCTTCCCATTTTTCTCCCTATCCTTTCCTGTCCTTCAAACACACTCAGAGTAAAATTTCCAAACAGCTTGAGGCATTTAGAATTCATATTCAACTCATTGTCAGAAGTTAATATATTCCAGCCATTGTGTTAGGTCAAGGGAACCAACAATGAACAAGGCAGACATAATCCTTGCCATCACAGTTTATATTCTAGTGAGGATATCACCTGGTCCTGACTCCTGAAAGAGTACTTAATCCTGTGTAGGAGGATATGGCAGCAAACTTGAGGCGTGATATTTGAAGAGGGGATAAAGGAGAGGTTGGGGCAGGGTGGCATGGAACAGGTAGCAACAGACAGAAGAGGTTGCATTAGGCATGCAGGTAGGCAGAGAAAACAGCATTTTCAAAGCCTAGAGGAGAGAGTGTGGATGTCAGTTTCCAGGAAGTGAGGGCAGTTCAGTGTGCTGTGGCTGTGAAATTGTCACAGAGCAATGGTGAGATCTGAAGTAGGGTGGGTAGCGAAGGCTAAACCCTGCAAGACTTTGCAGGCCGTACAAAGCAAGTTGGACTTTTGGTACTATATCCTAAGAGCAAGAGAGAGCAACTGAAAGGTCGGAGCAGTGGAACAACACGAACAGTGCAGTTGAAACTCTTCTCTGTCCTTTAACAATCCCAACGCTGATTTTCCCTCTCCATTGTAGGCATCTGAGTTGCAGCTGCCCTTCCTAAAGCTCTTCTGCTGCTGCAATCTGCATGTCTGCCTCCTCAGCTCCAGAGAGCCCATTCTCCCTTATCTTTGTATGCCTGTGTTCTGTCTCCTCCCACTGGACTGATTTCCTAGATGACAGGGACAACTCCTCGAACCCCTCTAAGTTGTCCCACAATCAGCTCATCACTGACTCAGACTGGGCTTTACTAAGACAAGATGGTAATGAATAACACAACCTAGCACAGCCCAGCCTTTTCTTGCACCCCACACACCAATATTCATATTGTGCTAAAACAACCCTTCCCTGTGGGAGGGTGTGTGCAGGGCCAAAAGACCCAGGTTTCTCTGCTTCCTGTCTGCTGCCACTTGTCTCTGATGTCAGTCTAAATAGCCTCTAATGCCTCCCATAACTGGCTGGAAAAACTTACCCCTAAGCTTGTTCAAGCTGTAAATGCTAGAAGAGAAAAATCTAATCTGTAGTGACAGTAGATCAGTGGTTACCTGGGGTTGGGGGGTTCATGAGAACTCACTGGGATGAGGCACAAGGGACCATTTCAGGGAAGAGGAAGTATCCTATATCTTTATTGTAGTGATGGTTCACAAATGTACAAATTTTTAAAGAAGATTTTATTTATTTATTTCTGGAGACAGGGAAAAGGAGGGAGAAAGAGAGGAAAAGAAACATTGAGGTGAGAGAGAAACATCCATCAGTTGCTTCTTGTACACACTTCAACCAGGGACTGACCCCACAACTCAGGCATGAGTCCTGACCTGGAATTGAACTAGCATCTTTTCACTTTGCTGGATGATGTCCAACCTACTGAGCCACAGAGGTCAAGGCCACAAATGTACATATTTTTCAAACCTTGTCAACATGGACAACTAAAATGATCCATTTTGTTGTATGTAAACCAGACTTCAGCAATGCCGAATTTAAAACAAACTGTATGTAAGTTAAAAGTCAGTAGGCTCAAGCACAGTACACACATGACCTTGAAAATGAAGTTTGACCCCATCATAGCACTAGGGCATGGACATACGGGAAAAGCAGCCTCCCCATAGTTGCAGAGATCTTAGATGGGTCCACTTGTTATGGAAGGCCAGGTTAAAGAAGCAAAGGAACAAAAACTAGTACAGAGAAGATCAGACCAAAATATGTAAAGTTGCAACCACACGGACATAGATTTGCTCTCCACACTTCAAACTACCTAAGTGAGGGAATTTTAGAACAAATAAATAGAAGTCTTGCCTCACAGAGCCAGAAACTGCATATTAGCCCCAGGGTATTAATTCACAAAAAGGTTTAGAAAAAAGTGATTCTTGAAGGACTACATGGCTTCACCACAGAGAGCTCCTCAAGAAGCTGGGCCCTCACCTTCCAGGGTGAGGCTGGGGAGGAAAACTCTCTGTGCTGAGTGGGTAAGGGGGTGATTTTGGGGTTTCCTGTGAGAAGGGACAGCATCTGGCTAGGTGACAAGAACACAATGCTCACATGACTGACTGAGTCACAGGAGTGGACCAGGGGCTCACAAGGAAGAGAGACATATGAGGCTTCAGAAATATTTGGGGGAAAGTGTTTTGGGTGTGCAGTGTGTGAGTGGGGGCAGGGATGGGAAAGGGACCTCTCTCCTCTTCCTCTTTACCTGACCTGTCTCTTCTCACAGGTCTTCAGGCATAGAAAATCTAAACTACTCCGGCACATAATCTGTCCTGTGTCTCACTTCTCTTGTACTCCCTCTGTGTCCATACTTACCCCAGCACCAGTCACATAGCAAAGTGCTGGAAAAATAATTTCTTTGGGCCCTGGCTGGTGTAGCTCAGTGGATTGAGCATGGGCTGCGAACCACAGGATCACCAGTTCAATTCCCAGTCAGGGCACATTCCTGGTTTGCAGGCCAGGTCCCCAGTATGGGGCACGTCAGAGGGAACCACAAGTCGATATTTCTCCCCTTTTCTAAAAGTGAATAAATAAATCTTTTTCTTGGGACAAGAATGTGAGGGCAATAGTTGCACATGTTGATCTATCAATGGGGGTAGGGAGTTAAGGAGGATGGGTGTGTAGAGGGAGTGAAGTGAGGTAATGGAATAGTAAGGGGAGGACAAATTAAAAAGAGGTAGGAAACGGTGGGTCAGGGGCATTGTGGGAGAGATGGCTAGGATTAGTGGGAGAAAGCAGGAAGTCAGTGGGAACACAGGCCAGGGGTCACAAGGAGAGAGGAGGTTACAGGTCAAGAGGGAAAGGAAGGTGAAGGACCAGTAGGAAAGGTATGATCAGTAGTCATTGGCGGTGAAGGTCAGAGTTCATCGCAAGAGGGCAAGTTGGAGGGTTACCTGCTTACGTGTCTGCAGTTTCTGGGGCATCTTCAAAGAAGCAGGAAGCACCTTAATACTTGGAGGGTCTACAAAACACCCCTTCGCCTGAAGACAAGAAATTTGTCCGTCCCCTAGATCACTCACAAGAAACTCGGATTCTCTTTCACTTCAATTCCCAGTCGTAGGGGTTCTTTGGGGACAGCTGTCGTTAAGGGTCTTGACGAGTCTGCCGGAGGGAATCGGCTCCGCCCCCACGCGGTTACCCAGCAACCAACCGGCATCCAGGGCGCAAGCGCTACCGACGCCCAGTCTTTGCTCAAGGGGGAGGCGGGGCTGGGCGAGTGGGAAAGATTGGTTTCACTAAGTTCCGCCCCCTCAGGAATAATTCGATCGGCGGCAGCGCGGGTTTGTAACTCAGGCATGTGGGAGGGGCTGTGGGGCAAGGCACCGCCCCCTCATGAATAATGCACATTCAGGCGGTGTCCCGGACCCGGAAGTGGAGTTGCAGAGTCACCGCAGTGGCTGAGCTGCTGACAGGAGGCGGCGGCGGAGGAGGAGGCGAGGCCAGACCTGCGGCTCAGCCCCGCCACAGCCGCGTACTGCTAGACAAGCCCACGGAGCCACGCGGGCCTTAGCCTGCCAGCGAACCTCCCGCCCCACTCCCACCGTCGATCTGCTCAATCGCCTGCCCTCCCGATTCGTCCGGGGCGGCCTAGTCTGCACCACCCACCCGGCTCCTGGGGCCGCCGCCCCACGCGGTCCAGTTGGCGTCCCTGGCCGCGCCCGGCCCCGGGCCCGCTCACTCGCCGGCACCATGATGGAGGAGATCGACCGGTTCCAGGTGCCCACCGCGCACTCGGAGATGCAGCCGCTGGTGAGGGGGCGGGCAGGCCTGGGCCGGGAGGGGGCGGAGGGAATCAGGCCTAAGAGACTGTACAAAGCAGGAGCGTTTGGATGGGGCAAAGAGAGTCATGAAAACACATCGCTGGGGAGAGGGACCTGCAGGACTTGAAAACCGTGGGAGAATCCGCGAGGTCACAGCAAAGGGGCCTGTACAGGCGGAGGGCATGGTCTGAGGAGGTAGGCCGAGGGAACTACTGGGAGCACCGTCAGATGGAATTGAGCCGGGCACAATGGTGTACGCCAACGGAGGCCCATACCTGGGAAAGGAAGGGAACTGTCATGGGGCACCGCGGGCGGCAGGCCCAGTGGGCTGGCATGAGAGATGGGGAGGCGTTTAGCGCTGGAGGCCTGGGTGATGCTCAGGGCGGGGGAGGGGGTCGGAGAGCATTCAGGCTAAGAAGGACTGGAATAGGCTTGTAGAGGAGGAGGGCCTGCCCGCCAGTTTGCTGGATTTGGATAGGAACGCGGGGGCAGGGGCTGGTAAGGGCAGGGGGTCGGTGCAGGATCTGGGAATTCCCTTCTTCTCCGGGGGAGAGCGCAGGTAGTCTGAACTGGCGGTACGGGAGCCGAAGAGGAGAGAGTGCAGCAGAGAGATGGAGAATCAGAGACGCGGATGAGAGAACTCGGGAACCTACAGGAGAGGGGGCGGGGCTGCGCTGGAGCGCCAGTGCCCACTGTTTGGAAGAGTCCCCATCATTCTAGGCCTTCGTGCTTGGAGCCCTTGCTGGGCGCCTATCCTACCGCCTGTGAGCGGTCAGGGTGTCAGGGAGGAATGATGTCATCGATGCCGGCTCAGAGGGGATAGAAGGGGGAGGGCGACATGGTCGCATCGAAGCCAGGCCTAGGGCAGACGGTGCCCGCTGCCCACCGCCCCGAGGAGGGGGGAGGGGCGGGACACCCGACTGGCTTGTCCGCCACCAGGTGGAAGACACCAAGGCCCAGCCTGCCCGTGTAGGGAGAGCGGGGAGCAAGGGAGTGCCTGGGCTCTGTTCTCTGTTAGCTTTTCCTTCTTTGCCCCTTGGAACCTTAGGGGGAACTGGAAGGAGGCAGAGCAGGCCAGAAATCTGAAGGTTGGGTGCCTTATTCTCTGTGCTCTGCTGTAATCTAATAGAGTTCTTCAAGCCTTGGAGATGTTGGGCTCTCTAAGCCTCTTCCCTGTGTTAGGCCTGGAGGTGAGGAACTGGTTCTACTCTTGGGCCCCCAGGTCCCTGGCTTGCAAATGTGCTTGTGGCTTCCTGAGCAAGTAACCTGCCTATTACATCAACCAGGACAGACCTTGGCAGGAACCCATGATCTACTCTAAGCCACACCTTTTGGAAGGCGATAGAATCATTAGAAGCTACCCAACAGAAGATTCAAGGCATTTACCCCTTTTGTGACTACTTAGTTCCAGAAGCCAAAAAAGAAGCTTTATAAAAGTGTACCATATTAAATGGGGAGAGAAATGCTAGCCTGATGGCATCATTGGATTATTTGGAGGGCCAGAAAATCTTGGTGAGAAGTCTTTCTCATAAACTTGAAGAACTTTGGGCTGGGTTAAGACAACTTTCCTTTATAGATTATTTTTCAACCAATCTGGATTGTCAAATTAGATTGCTCTTACAGTTCTAAGCATCTAATTAAGAACCAAAGAAAGGGTGGATGAAGGAAGAGGAGCAGGAGGAGGTCCAAGTGAGTCAGGGGAAGAAAGCAATGAGTTGGTTCTTGCCTCCCATCTGGGGATCCTAAAAAAGGGAGGCAATAACTGTGTAGGGAAAGGGGGAAAGGGATTGAGTCACCAGGCTCTCTCAGTTGTCTTTGGTGCCTCTATCATTGCCTGAAGTTCTCAATGGTGATTTGATTGAGCTGTGGCCCCAGAAGACTCCTGAGCTGCTTCTGGTCTATGTGGCTCTGGAGTAGAAATGCAAGGAGACATTTATCAGAAAGACTGTAATTGCCTTCAGACTTTTTTTTTAAAGCTAAAAAAAAGGGTCTGTTAAGGTCTGCTTTGTTGTGGTTGAGTGAGAGCCTTACAGAAGTAGCAACACAGTCATCTCCCATTTGAGGGTCACAGACATTGCCCTGCAGATTTCTGCTTCTTGACCCTTGTTCCCAGGTTGAAGCCTAGAGGATTTCCAAAACTCCTTAAGTGCTCTGTGTATGATTGAGATCAGTAGAATCTTGTGTGGCATTTACCCAAGAATCTTCCTTTGAGGGCATAAGGAACCAAGATGATATACCACAAAAGAAAGGCAAAGTGGCTCTTTAGGTTATTTGGGTATGCCATAAAACTAGGCTCCCAGGCTTGAATTCAGCTGTGACCTATTTAATTTCTTGCCACTATTTATTGAGACCTCCAGGAAGTCCCTCCTCTTCTCTGGACTTAGTTTCCCCATTTATGAAATGAAGACTGTCTCTTTCAAGTTTAAACAATAGCTCCTCATTCTGTCTTCCAAAGGATATCATATCATTTCATATCATTTGCTGATATCATTGATCCAGCAAATTCATTCACCTAATACCTATTGAGCATCTGCTCTGTTCTAGATACTATACTAGGTGTTGGGGACACAGTGGTTAGCAACACAGACACAAATATGGCCCGCCCTCCTGAAGCTCACAGTTCAACACAAGTTTATTGTTCTTGCTCACTCTCTCAGCATGAGCTCCTCTGAGGGCAGAATGGGGGCTGTCCCCATAAACCCTATAGGCAACAGGTGATGCTGGTGTCAGCGTCATTTACCCTTTCTGGACTAAGCTGTACACATACAGGCTCTTCACATGCTCCATCATCAAGTAACCCTCCCTTATTCATAGTGGTGGGAAGAATCCAGAGGCCATTTCTCACTTAGAAAAATTAGCTCTAGGAGGAGAGCATCTTTATCTTTTTATTACTTACTTGAAAGAGAAACCCAAGCTTAAAAAGGCGCCCCAGAAGAGTGGGAGGAGCTGGAGAAGAAGGCACAGCCAACAGATCTGGGTGTTTCCAAGGTGTTAATTTAAACAATAGTTCTCAGCTTAGTGGAAGAAAGAGATCCCTGCCCTGTTGATGCTGCTGCTGTTGCAACAACTGGGAGGAGCCTTCTGTCTGAGGTGGGAGTTGGCCTGAGGGCGTGGCCTCCCTCCTTTCCCCATCACACTAATTATTTCATTGGCACGCCTGCATCTCAGTAGCTGAACCAGGTCTAGGCTTATCCCTGGGAGCTTCCCAGGGTCTCTTCCTGTCTCCTTATAAAAGGAATGAGAGCTCCTCTTGGTGACCTAGTCCCTGGGCTCCATTCCTGCTGTGTCTATCTCCTAGATAATCTTTAGTGTTTTCTAGCACAGATTTTTCCAAAGAAATCACTAGGGATAGGCACATCTTCTATGTCAGTTCTGTGTCCAAGCCACACACCTCACTGATCTAGGGAAGCACCTATCTGTCCAAGGCTTTCTACTGAGCACTTCAGTTGAATTTGGGCTACGGTTTGGGTGAACAGCAGTGGTAGGCTCTCTGGCCCTATTGTCAATTTGCGCAACTGGTTGGTACAGCTTCACAGTCTATGTCTTCTTCTTGTCTACAACTGGAGAGAAAGAGATTTCTTGAAGGGGAAAAAAGGAGCTTTTAAGCACTTAATTGTGTCAGGCAAAGCCCTGCTTCCTATGCTTTCAATGACCAAAAAGAAAAAAAATGGCATGTGGCACCAGGCAGGGTCTCTGTGAACTTGACAGAAATGCTAGTTTGGCCTCCCTGAAGCCCAGGTTGTGTGTTAACTCATCTGTTTAGGTCCAGGTACCTTAAGGACAGAGACAAGTGAGAGCTCTCCTGATCAGGCCAGGAGAAGGATGGGCTCACATGGCTACAGGAAGGTTTTAGGTACATGTTAGGAAAGAGTAGAGTCAATGGAGGGTGCTCCTGAGAGAGGGTGACACCTACCTCCCTTGGGAGAAGATGAGAAATGCTGAGGTTCTGACCCTTTGACCACCCGAGCTTAGAAAGTAGCTTCAGACTCCTCCAGCCTCCTGACACTCAGGGATGGGGATGGTCAGGACATTAATTCAGTGGGTGGGCCACAGCAGCTCCTGGAAGTGGTGGAGAGAACATTGTGAAGATAGCAAGAGCCACTGTGGAAAATTGACCCACACATTTTCTTTGGTCAGGGACTTTTAAGTTGCTTTCTTGTGGTCATATGACTTTTCAATTTAATGGTGGGTTCTCTTAGTCGGTCCATGTGGCTTATGACCTAGGAGTACTTCTTAGGTTCTGGGATGAGGCCCACCCTTTTCTCTTTTCCTATATTGTAAAATGAGGATCAGGTTTACTCAGGTCTTTG